GGCCGGCCTAGTCTACAAAGCTTTTCAAACCAGTTGGGACTATAGGGAGACATTGTCCAAAAAAAAAAAAAAAAACCAAACAAACAAACAAAAAACCCCAAACCCCCCCAAAAAACAAAAACAAAAAAACAAATCCTAAAGCAAATTCAAAGGTCACCAGGTTTAAAAGTCAGGTTCTAGAATTTAAAATATTTCAAATCCATGTAATTTAAGGAAAGTTTCTTGGAATGTTTTTCTTTTTTGTCTTTTTGAGACAGTGTCTCCCCGTAGCCCCAGCTGGCCTGGAACTCGCTATGTAGACAAGGCTGGCCTCGGACTCACAGAGATCTGCCTGCCTCTGGCTCCTGAATGCTGGGACTAAAGGCGTGTGAGAAGTTAAGTTCTTTGGCCCTGCTATTTATAAACAGGGACATATACTATTTAGGGGTCACTACCTTAGATGTTAAAGGACAGAAGATCCCTATACTGCCAAACCAGAAAACTAAAATACTTTTTAAAATTTATTTTTATTATTTTACTTTTATGTGTATGAGTATATTGCCTGCATGTAGGCAGGTGCACCTGTGTTGTGCAAAGCTTGAAAAAGGTCAGAAGAGGGTGTTGGATTCCCTGCAACTGGAGTTACAGACAGTTGTTAGCCTTGTGAGTGCTGGGAATCAAAGCTGGGTTCTCTGCAAGAGAGCCAGAGCTCTTAATGGCTGAACCATCTTTGCAGCACCTCCCCCCCACTTATTTCTAAACAAAATATATATGTCTTCTGGAAAGTCTATAGGCTTAAATAGACAACTATCTTTTCTTCTTAAAATTTTTATTACATAGGCTGGGCATGGTGGTGCATGCCTTTAATCCCAACACTCGTGAGGCAGAGGCAGGTGGATCTCTGTGAGTTCAAGGCCAGCCTGGTCTACATAGTGAATTCCAGGACAGATGGGGCTACAGGGAGACCCTGTCTCAAAAAGACCAAAAAAAAAAAAATTTTTTTTTATTACATTTTTATTTGTTTTCTGGGCCTGTGTGTGTTCCACGGAACATATGTGGAGGTCAGAAGACAACTAGCAGGGGTCAGTTCTCTCCTTCCACCATACAAGTCCTGGCGATCAAACTCAGGTCATTATAAGGTTTGGCACCAAGTACCTTTTACTCTCTGAACCATCTTACCCACCCACAGACAGCTATCTTAAATGTTATCTCTGTACAGTGGAGTAAAAGGTAAAACTCTACACATGCATATGGGGAGATGCCTATAACAATAATTTAAAAATTCAGTATGACTTATAATACCTGGAGATGCAGTAGACACGAGTTTCTGTTTCCACTGCATGTTCTGAGAAGAAAGCATCACAGAGCCTATGTAAAGAGCTTGTGTCTGCAGCTCTGACTTCACACTGCAGTTAAGTGGGTTCGAGAGGCTAGAGCCATAGGTCCACAAGACAGAAAAGAACTTGAATAACGCAAGAACATCCTCTAGATGTACCTAATCAAAAGAAAGTAGAAAGAAAAGTGTGTGTCTTACTAAAACAAGTCTCAAATCTTTTCACTAATGTACAATTAGTTATAAGACACCAGTAATTTAATGAAATGTGCTTGTCTAATCACTACTTCAATACTTGGTTTTACCAACTAGGAAGGATGCTAATGAAGAGTGATATTAGAATCCTACCTAGAACCTTGCACTTGAAAACACTGAACAGAGAGACAGGGCACTAACTGAAAAGCAAGGCGAGAGTGGGTCTGTGAAGCAGTGAGCAACAACGACGGCTGTGGAGGGGGGCAGAGGGGAGAACCCAGCAGCACGGGGTAAGCCACCTCACGACCACAGCTTCTGTATAGTATCTTTGAACATTCAGTCACATTTTCGCCTGTGTGGGGTATTTAAAAGCCAGGCAGGCTGCTGGGATTCTTACACATGATGGCCCATAGCAGGGAGGTAGTGGTGCCCCTCTGCTCAGTGCACGGCATGGTGCTGGGATTACAGTTGCTGTAAAGGGCTGTGCTCAGCAGGGCATGCTCTTTACCACTGCAAAGTGGTAATTATTAGAACTGCAGACATAAAATGCCTACACTTGGAGGCTATTTAATAAATGAAAGAAAAAACCTACAGGGGCAAGTCAAGTACCTTTATGATAAGTCTCATCAGAACCCTGAAATGCATGGCCTCGGAGCCCCCAAGGAGAAGCTCAAAGAGCCCAATGAGCAAGAACAGGTAGTGTCTGCTGTCCTCCTCCATCTGCTCGGGATCCCACCACGTAGCACCTGCGGGCCATGGAGACAGAGCTACGGGTAAGCCTACTTAGAATGCTCGACAACTTCCCAACTCTCATCTTGAGGCCAGATGCGGTGGCGCATGCCGTTAGTACCAGCACTCAGGAGGCAGAGGCACGCAGATCTCTGTGAGATTGAGGCCAGCCTGGTCTACATACCACAGAAAACTGGGGCTACAGAGAAACCCCGTTTCAAAAAAAAATTCAGTTTTGAGGAATATCACAGATAAAGATTCACAATTGTGCCTTACCTTTAGGAAAAGATTTTGGAGCCTTCAGTGCAAAAATAAAACATTTGAGGGAAAACACAAGTAAAACAGAGTCCTCCACAGCAACCCTCTGGGCGCTGTGGAGCTGCTCTATGTAATGCACCCACAACTCCTCTGGCAAACTTCGGTCCAACATCAGTTCCAGATGCCATTCTGAGGGGATCTCCTGCAAGAGTAAAGGAGACAAAAACTAGCTCACCCTCAAAGTAGTTCTGAACGTGGCTTCTTAGGATGAACTCTAACAGACTCAGGGGTTGCTCTGAGGAACTACAAAATCTGTCTATATGCATATTCTGGGAGGGAGTGGACTAAGAATTTCATACAGCTATTGTGTGTGTGTGGGGGGGGGGCAGTGGTGTACCTTTCAGACGGTCTCTTACCGAGCCTGGAGCTCGCTGATCCAGCTACAATGGCTGGCCTTAGTCTATCTCCCTGGTCCTGGGATTACAGGTGCACAATACCGCACCTGGCTATTTTATATGGGTGCTGAAGATTCAACTTGGGTCCAGATGCTAATGCAACAAGTACTTTATCAACTGAGCCATCCCCCAATCCCTTTCATACAGATTTTAAGAGAGCTCTATTATTGTTCACAAGAAAACGTACAAGAGGGTCAGTGAGATGGCCCCGCCACTCCATCTGCTAACCTCAGTTCCGCCCCCTAGACCTACCTGGTGCAGGGAGAGAATCAAGTCCTAAAAGCTGTCCTCTGACCTCCATACTCATACGTGGCACATACATGCATGTACGCTCATACCCACACACACATAACTAATGTAATTAAAAAGAAAACAACAAAAAAACACCTTTTTTGGTGGGGGGTCTTTTTGAGACAGGGTCTCCCTATAGCCCCAGCTGTCCTGGAACTCACTATGTAGACCAGGCTGGCCTTGAACTCAGAGAGATCTGCCTGCCTCTTCCTCCCTAGTGTTGGGATTAAAGGCATGCGCAACCATGCCCGGCAAAACCAACTTTTTTAAAAGAGAAAAGCCACAAGAGCTAGGCATGGTGGCTCATGCCTTTAATCCTAGCACTTGAGAGGCTGAGGTAGATTACTACTGAGTTTCAAGTCAGCCTGGGCTACACAGTGAGCTCCATGTCTACCTGGGTTTCAGAGTTAAGACCCTGTCTCAAAAATCAAACAAATAAACAAAATACTCCAATATGCTAAACATGACTTTATACTTTACCTTAAGACACTATTCCTAAAAACCCTACTCACTTAAATTCTATGACAAAGAGTAAGAAAAAGCTGACTTTTTTTTTTTTTTTTTTTTGACACAGGGTTTCCCTGTAGCCTCAGCTGGCCTGGAACTCGATATGTATAGACCAGGCTGGCCTTGAGCTCACAGAGATCCGCCTGCCTCTGCCTCCCAGGTGCTGGGATCAAAGGTGTGCCACCATGCCTGGCTTGTATCACTTCTTAATGTATGAAGATGCACTTTAAACTCACACAATCTCAGCTAACAATGGCTATGACTAGAGTGTATTAAAATGCTGAGTACAAGTAAACGTGAAGATGGAATTCACAAACAGCCCTCTGATGCCACATGACAAAAAAGCAAAATGCTGCTGCACAGGGCAGACAGTAAGTAAGCTCGTTACCTTCAAATGGGGTATCAGGTACAAAGGTAGACTGCTGAAACGTCCTTTAGTAATGCTGTCAGAGACAAAAGCAGATCAGGACGTCCATATCTGTAGTGGTTTGAATGAAAATGTCCCCCATAGGCCCCAAATATTCGGATATTTTGTCCCCAGTTGGTGGCACTGTTTTGGGAGGTCTTAGAAGGTATGGCCATGCCGGGCGTGGTGGCACACACCTTCAATCCCAGCACTTGGGAGGGAGGCAGGCGCAGGCGGATCTCTGAGTTTGAGGCCAGCCTGGTCTACATAGTGAGTTCCAGGACAGCTGGGGCTATAGGGAGACCCTGTCTTAAAAAGACCCCTTCCAAAAAAGAAGATGTGGCCATGCGGGAGGGAGCACAGCACTGGGGTGGGCTTAGAGAGTTCTTAAGCCTTGCCAGGTCTCAAGTATGCCTCCCTGCTATGGTGGACTGTTAACTCCCCTGGAACTGTGAGTTCAAATAAACTCTTCCTGCTATAAGTTGCTTTGGTTAGTGTTTCTATTGCAACAGAAAAATGACTAATACAGTATCTGTATCTAATTAGAGTTTTACACGTTTTTTTTTGTTGTTGTTGTTTTTTTTTTTTTTTTGGCTTTTTGAGACAGGGTCTCCCCGTAGCCCCAGCTGGCCTGGAACTCATTATGTAGACCAAGCTGGCCTCAAACCCACAAAGATCCACCTGCCTATGCTCCCAATTGCTAGGATTAAAGGCATGTGCCACCATGCCCTGCCATTGAGTATTACACAGTTTTAAATATACAAGATCTTGGGCCTGGAGAGATGGCTCAGTGGTTAAGAGCACTGGCTATTCTTGCAGAGGAACTGGGTTCAATTCTCAGCACCCACATGGTAGCTAACAACTGTCTGTAATTCCAGTTCCAGGGGATCTGACGCCCTTTTCTGACCTTCGTGGGCAGTGTGTAACACAGATTACACACATGCAGGCAGTACACACACACACACACACACACACACATACAAACAACAAAAAAATTTGGATATTTCAATATACAAGATCTTTTAGCAAATACTAGAACAAAGTCCTATTTTGTTCAAGCACCAGTACAGAAGGCAAGTCTGTCCTTACTGAGGCATTTAAGTGCAACTGCAGTAATGAGCCAGTAAAGGGTGGGGCCATGACATAAAGCCTTCCAGCCTTGTCACCTCATCCTCATGTATGGCACTTACATACATGGGAAGCCACTACTCCCAGAGAGCACCGCTAGGCTTCTGGGCTGCGGTTGCTACAACAGGCTATGGTCTTACTCAGTGTCCACTCTCCTTGGACACCAAACGTACCACTGCAGTCATGATGGTCTTGAGCTTCTCTACTTTCTTCTGTAGCAAACTGAACACTCTTACAGTGGATGGAAAATGAGTCTCTCTGAGGGATGAACAGCAGGAGATGAGCACAGACATGATCACATGGAACGTCACTTTCTGCTGCAGGGTGTAGGACTCCTTTTCCCCGGCACTTATTAAATCTTCCACCTTGAGAGAGAAGCACACCCCCGTTACTGGTTGGTCTGATTTCATGACACAAGCTTTTCTACCTCAGGCCTCTCTTGGTACCACGTCTTACTTATAAAGTAAGTGACAAACAGAAAGCCTTTTTAAAAAGCACTAAGCATTGATTACTAAACAATTCTTTTAAAGTCTCAGAAATTATTAATGAACATAATTTTACTTTTTATTTATTTTTTGTCTTTTTGAGACAGGGTCTCCCTGTAGTCCCAGCTGACCTGAACTCACTATGTAGATCAGGATGGCCTGCCTCTACCTCCCAAGTGCTGGGATTACAGGCATGTGCCACCATGCCCAGCTAATTTTTCCTTTTATTTATTTTTTTGTCTTTTTGAGACAGGGTCTCCCTGAAGCCCCAGCTGGCCCAGAATTCACTATATAGGCCAAATTGGTTTATTTACATAAGTACTTTTCTCTTCTTTTAATTACATGCTGCTATTTTAACAAAAAGACTTTACCATTTTAAATAGGAAAAAAAAGATTTAAGAGCAAAGTATTCTCACTAGTCTAAAAAGTGATATACAATTCTGACTTCAAATAATCTGCAGAATATGTCAAATTAGCCCAGCATTTAGGAGTTCAAGGCAGAAAGATCATGAGCTCCAGGCCAGCCTGGGCTCATGTACCTCAGCCTTACCCCCAAAAGACAACACAAAATTACCACTGTACTTGCCTAAAGCAAAACACAGTGTTCAAGAATGAGAAAATATATTTTCTAACAGAGAACTGGGCGTCTGGCAACCCAAGAAGGAATGTCCAGGGCACGGGGATGATACACTTACCATCTTCAGCGCTGAAGAGGGTTCTCCTGAACTTATATTGCCAGCCAGCAACTCAATCATCTTCTGATTTGCTATACCAGTTAGTTTTCCAGACTTCCTGCTTTTAATCACATTTTCAAGAGCTGTAAGAAATGTGAGTGCAGACAGGCCTCAAATTTATATGTCTCTGACATCCAGATAAAGAATTAGGCAAAGTAACAAATTTAGGTAAAAATTTCACTATTTCTCTTCAAAGGCTTGCTTTTTATTTTATCCAATTCTGAATGTGTCAATGAGTCAGCTTCCTTGTCATTGTAGACTTTTTATTTTAGCAAAACTTAAGAATCATGCTGATATATAACAAATATAACTTCAAATATCAAAAACAGCATATTTTCAATAGACTTACCTTCTTTTTAAAATGTATACTTATTTTTTCTTAAAAAGAAAAAAAATCAAACAAACAGGGGCTGGAAAGATGGCTCAGCGGTTAAGAACATTAACTGTTCTTATAGAAGACCCGGGTTTGAATGCCAGCACCCACATGGCAGCTAACAACTGTCTATAACTCTAGTTCCAGGGACCCCAACAGCCTCCTCTGTCTTCCACAGGCATTGCATGGTATGGGCACACTTACATACATGCAGGCAATATATGCATACACATAATAAAAATAAATAAAAAAATTTTTAAATCCAAGTTGTTATAATAACAAAAACAAATAAGGGTCTGGAGAGATGCTCAGTAGTTAAGAGCACCGGCTGCTCTTGCAGAGGACCCGGGTACAGTTCCCAGCACCCACATGGCAGTTAACAAGTCTGTAACGCCAGTTCCAGGGGAACTGAGGCCCTCTTCTGACCTCCGTAGGCTTTGCAATGACATGGGTGCACTAACATACATGTAGGCAACACATTCACACACACAAAAATATTGAAACAAATAACCAACCAACAAACCCCCAAACTGATGGTCTCACCCTCTTTCCAGCCTCTTAATAGAAAATGCAGAGAACAGATTCCTGACTTTGATAAATGTATAGCAAGCTTCATGTCAAGAGAGTCCATGTCATCGTTAGTAATGACCATAAAGGGCAGCAATTGTACAACCACCTGATTTGACAACTGGTCACTTTCACCCAGTGTCTCTTCTTTAATCAATACATTTGCTGCCAGTTCCAGCACCCTGTACCTAGAAGACATGCAAGCACATGGGTTGAGATGTGTAAACTTCACGTCAGCAAAATCATCACAACATTGTTTCAGCTCAACTGGCAATAGCCTGCTCTAACCAAAATCCTGCTCACAGATACCACACACCACTTTGATTCCCAATCGCTAGGACTCGCAGGAGAGATGGCTCAGCTGGCAGGTGCCACCAAGCCTGACCACCTCTGTTCAATGCCCAGGAGCCACAGGGTAAAGGAGAGAACCAACTCCCACAGGCCGTCCTCTGTCGCCCACACCGACACAGTGCAACATGGGTGCACACACAGAATACACACTGGCTGTCTCAATGGCTGTCTCGGGTCAGGCATTAAAAAGAGCACACCCCATCTGATGGATCAAAATGCTGTCTGTGTGCGAGGAGCTGAACTACAGGCAGAGTGTGCTCTCCAGAGCTGTCACTCTTTCCTGCAGGAGCCTAAATGAAATGACCATAGCTCATCACAAATTCTCTACGGAACACATCACATGCTTTTGAACTTTAGTCATATTTGGTTTTCATTACAAAGTAATAAGCGGAAAACTAGAAAACCTCCCACCTCAAAATTTAATATTGCATATTACATAATATATTTTACATTTTATTTTTAAAAAGTCCAAAGATAGAAAACAGCATTAATGCCATAAACACACATAGACTAGCTTTACAGTTCAGGGGAACACTACATTAGGATCCTTTCTATACCGATGCTCCTGAGATGGCGCAGTAGGTAAAGGTGTTGCCTGCAGAAGCCTACCAACCCAAGTCTAAGTCCACCACTGATATAAAGGCAGAAGACGACCAACTCCCCAAAGTTGTCCTTGGACGTCCACACGTGTTGTGGCACACATGCTCATGGACACACACACACGCACTCTCAAAGAAATAAATAAAATCTAACGATTAAAAAAAAGATTGTTCTACTCCCATGACCAAAAAGCCAGTAAATGAATTGGTCAGAAAAGTGAAAAAGGACACTGTGAACTGGACACAAAACTGCAGGTTCACAAGAGTGTGAAAGGAGAGAAGAGCACATACCATCCTTTATTCTTCGACAGTTCCGCTCTTTGAAAGAGATTCAGAAGATTTGAAACGGTCACTTCTGCACTGAAGTGTTGCTGGAAAGTCTGGAGGGGGAGAAATTGTGAGTAAGTATTTACTTGCTCCAAATATGTAAGGTCTGTCCGTCCTGAAAGTGGTAAAATCGTGAAGAATTCCTCCAGATCATCCCAGCATGACTTCAGAGTGCCCCGTGGCCCAGGGACAGCTGCTGCTGGAACGCTCACATGGCACATTCCCTCTAGTAGAGCTTCCTTATGCATCACGCTGTGCAGTCTATGTTCTGAGAATCCCACACCAGACTTAGCACTGCTCTCAATGAACTCGTTTCCGAGCAAACTCTTGCCCAGGAACAAGGATCGTGTGAGAACAGCAAGAAAACGTTCACAAAGCAGACCTCCAAGACCGCAGAACCACCATGCACTCACCTCGAATGCACTCAGCGCTGAGAAAGCAACATCTAAATTGTCATCGCTTAATCGGGTTAAAACAGCTTCTTTTATGAAAGACTCATCGATGCCCTCCTGAACAAGAAAAAAATGCAAATTAATTAAGCTGTTGTTACAAAGCTCAAAAGGACCCATGTTGGAAAGGAAGGCTCTGTGACAAGCACTCCGGAACACCAGTGAGAAAATCTAGCTCAGCCCTGGAAGAGCTCAACATACCAGGACCAGATCACCTCCAATGGGCCTTCATGGATTGATGGTTTGTTACAAACTTCGTAGAGTTTTACTGAGCATATAAAACATGTCAAATCCAAATGCCACTTCTGTATGAAGATGACCTTGTTAAAACAGAGAGCCCAGAGGGAGACGACAGGCTGTTGGGATGGCCAAGGGTAAAAGCACTTTCAACAAAGCCTGATGTGAACCCAATCTCAATGACCTATATGGTGGAAGGGGACAACCTACTTCCACAAGTTGTCCTCTGACCTGTGTGAGCACACGCATGTGCACACACAGTAAGTGCTGAAACTTTTGAAATTAACTATAGCTCCTTAAAATAGAGAACACATAAACTAAAAGTATAAAAATTTTAAAACTCAATAAGGCAGATTTTGATGTGGTTATTGTTTGTGTTTTGAGACAGGGTCTCCCTATAGCCCCAGCTGGCCTGGAACTCACTATGTAGACCAGGCTGGCCCTCATTTCACAGCGATCGGCTTGCCTCTGCCTGCCAAGTGCTGGGACTAACCTGACCCAGCAACAAGGCAGATATTTTTTAAAACCATAAAAAACCCTCCAACTTATCTGTAATTATATCAATTCTTGGTGGTAACTTCAATTTCTTGTTCTAGAATCAAGACTACTTATCATTAAGGGAAAGCAGTCATAAGTGAAGGCATCGGGCACAAACCTTTGATGTTTTCATGACTTTTTTCAAGTGATTAATGGCCAGAAGTCTCACAGGAGCCAGTGGGTGGTTCAAACTGAGCATCAAAGATGTATCAGAATCCTCTAAAAACTGTAAGTCCAAGAAAATTATTGAATGATTGCACTTAATCTGAGCAGCATATGACACAAAAAAATGAAAACATACAGTTACAAACCATTGAACTTTAAAACAAAATCACCTGCAGAACACTGTATGAGTTACAGCACACGAACACAGCAGGGTTGACCATGGTGTGCTGCATGTGTTTATGTGGATGAGGCCTGGGTTCGGCTGGTGCAGTGATGCTCTGAGTACTGTCACTTTTCATAGTCATGTTACCCCAGCCTAGAGGTTCTGATCCAGCACCTCACTGATGACAGAATGCAGCTCAGATAATAACAGAGATGCTGCAACCAGGACAACACCTGACACATGAAACCACAGGACAGCCCTGACCAACCGCAGACTTGGAAATGTACCATTAAAGCTGATAGTCTGATTTCAGGAAAAAGTATCTCTTGGTACTTAAAAAAAAAAAATTATGTAAGATCTTCTGCTTAATCACCCAATTTCCAGTATAAACATTTTGGCTTGGATCATCATAAAACTTTCTTAAGATTTATCATGATCATGATCTACTTTAGTCAACTGTTTAAACTACCTATAGTGGTCTGAATGAGGAATGTGCCCTCTGGGCTCACATATTTAAACCCATGTTGATCTTTGGTTGGTGGTTGTGCTGGAAGCTTTTGTTTCAACTTGACACACTTGGGAACAGGAAGCCTCAATTAGGGATTTCTTCTCTTGGACTGGCCTGTAGCCATGTCTGAGGCATCTTCTTGATTGTTGAGTGATGTGGGAGGCCCAGCCCACTGTGGGTGGTGCCACCCCTGGGCAGGTGGACCCGGGTTGTATAAGAAAGCAGGCTGAGCACAGGCCAGGGGAGCAGCCAGTAAGCAGCGCTCCTATGGTCTGTGCTCCAGCTCCTGCCTCCAGGATCCTGCCCAGAGCTGCCGTGATGGACTATGAGCTGAGGTGAAATGAGCCCTCTCCTCCTCAAGCTGCTTTTGGTCAGTGTTGTGTCACAGCTATCCAGAAAGCAAACTAGGACAGAGAAGGAACCACAAGTGGGGCGCAGCTCTGAGGGCTTTGCCACACTGCTTCAGGACTGTGGAAGCATCTGGAACTTTGGGATGGAAGAGCCACTGAGTGCTTGGAATGTAAGTGTTCTGTTCTATGAGAACCTGGATGATAGCACTGAGAGAAAAAAATGGTGGAGGCCTGCCTTGTGAAGTCCCAAGGGAAGCAGAGTATCAGGGCTGTTTGTGGTATTTTGGATTAAGAATCTGTGGGAGTAAAACCTTTGTTTTCCTGGGACAGTAGATTCTAGTCAGCTGGGGCTGAAAAATCAGCTGGGATTGAGACCAGCCTCACTGAGGTGAAGTCTGGAAGTGTTTCCTCAGAGTACACAGTACAGAGGGGGCCAAGGCTACATCTTGAGCTAGAGCTGGATTTGGGAATGTGAAAGGGTCTCCCAGGTGGTACTGGTTTTGAAGGCATGAAGGGGTCATGGGGAGAATCTGAGGCTTGGTACCACATGTGGTCAGGAAAGGCCACTGGTGAACATGCAGCCTCAGCTGTGGTGAAGACCTCAGGATGCAGTAGAGATGCCAGGACTGTGTGGTGACGAGGACATCAGGTGTGATGTGGAGCTAGCCCAAGCCTATAAGACAAGCTGCCTGTGTTGTGGATGGCAGAGCCAGAGAAGTGGAGCTGCCCAACCTCCTAGAGCCCAGAGGATACCGAAAGAAGGAGCATGTGACTTTATTTTACTGAAGCCCACAGTTAAGAAACTATGGATTAGGCTGGGCATGGTGGCATGCACCTTTAATCACAGCACTCGGGAGGCAGAGACAGGCGGATCTCTGAATTTGAGGCCAGCCTGGTCTACATATGAGTTCCAGGCCAGCTGGGGCTACAGGGAGACCCTGTCTCAAAAAGACCAAAAAGAAACTCCGAATTATTTTAAAGGGACACTGAGCTTTTAAAGTATGGGAATTATTATTATTATTATTATTATTATTTGGTCTTCTTGAGACCACCCAAGTGCTCGGATTAAAGGCATGCACCACCACAACCCGGCTTTTAGTATGGGAATTTTTATGGACTGTGGGACTTTTAAAGTTGTACTATGTTTTATGTTGTTATATTATTAACATAAGACCTTGGAAACAAGAAATGGAAACGTTATGGATTAATGATGATGTGTTCTCATGTCAAGAGAGGACCTCAACTGGGGCATTTCCTTTACCAGACTGGCTTGCAGGCATGTCCGAGAGACATTTTCTTGACTGAGTAATGTAGGAGGGCCAGCCTAATGTGGGCATGGTGGTGCCACCCCTGGCAGGTGGTCCTGAGTTGTCTAAGAAAGCAGGCTGAACACACACCAGCAAGAAGCATTCCACCATGACTGCTTCAGCTCTGCCTCAGGTTCCCGCCCCCAGGTCCCTGCCTTGGCTTCTCTCAGTGATGGAGTGCCGCTTGGAAGAGTAAGACGCCATAAACCCCTTCCTCCCCAAGTTGGTTTGGTTAGTGTTCTATCACAGCAACAGAGAGCAAGCTAACATGGTGGTGTGGTCTGGGGAGTTATGAAACTTTTAGGTGGAGCCTTGTTGGAGAAAGTACACAGCAGGGGCTCTAAGCTGACGGCCTGGCCCATCTGCACTTCTTTCTCTGCATTCTGTGAGGACGGCACTGTGATCTCTCAGATTCCTGCTTCAGCCGTGACGGTGACCTCTAACCCCGTGGAGCTGTAAACCAGAATAAACCTGCCGCCTCATGTTGCTCCTGGTCACAGTATTTTATCACAGCAACAGGAAAGCAACTAATGCACAGCCGCATGTGGCTGCGGGCTCAGCGCTGTGGTGAGCCCAGGATGAGCTGCACCTGGATCACTGCCGACTGACAACATAGGTGAAATTCCCAATGTCCTCCTGAAGTCACTGCACTTTCCCTCAGGTATTTCATTCCCACTCTGGAGCTGTATTTCTAGAAACTGGGCAAACTGTATGAAACCTTAGCTCGCTGAAGTTTTCCAAAGGGGGAAGAGGAGAGAAAAATGGCTGGCTGGAGCTTGTCAGACAACCCATAATACCAGTCTCCTAACTGCCTTAACAGCACTGGAGACAACGTACCTGATACTTTCCTCCACTTGTAGAAAGAGAAATAAATTGGTGGAAAAGCTCCTGTTTTTTAAGCCCTGTGATCTCTTTCAGGTGTTCCTCTAATACAACATCCAGTGTCCTGGGGTATCTGGAAGAATTACAGCTTGCTCAGTATTTTTGATACCATTTTACCACACAAGTACAGACATAAAACAAAATTTTAAAAATTACTCAGTGAGACTTAATTTTAACAAATGCTGTATACATAAATGTTAATGCTGATTAAGCTTGTTTCTATCACAATAAGAATAAAACACTCTGGAGCTGGAAAAACAGTTCAGCTGTTAAGAGCACTGCTGCTCTTGCAGAAGACCCAAGTTCAGTTCCCAGCACCCACATGAGGCAGCTCAAATCACCTCTAACCAGCTCCTGGGATCCAACACCTGCACACCCATACACACACCCACATAGACACACATGTTCAATTAAAAATAACATTAAAGGGGCTGGAGAGATGGCTCAGTAGTTAAGAACACTGGTTGTTCTTGCAGAAGACCCAGGTTCGAATCCCAGCACCCACATGGCAGCTAACAACTGTCCATAACCTGTGTACTCTCTTGTTGCCCCTTTGAAGCTGAGGTGTTAGACCAGAGCCTGCCTCAGGCTCAGAGGATGCCCTGAGTATGAGTGACTCTGCACACAGAACTCAAGAGCATCTTCACTGTTTCTTACAGCTCGGAATGAACAAGAGGAGCAAGAAGAGAAGCGAGAAATTAAGAGGCGGCTGACTCGCAAGGTGAGACAGTTCCCCGTGCCCAGACCCACTTGCCACACCTTGCCTTCTAGTGGCCTTGGGGTCTTGAGGCCACTTTGACCCACAGCTCTCCGACTCTCTTGGATCCCTGGGGTGGGGATCAACTCAGCTTCCTCACTCTGAGATTTTTGGGCAGGTGACATTAAGTCCTACTTGATTTGTGGCACTCAGCTAACCCCATACAACTTGGTGCCTAGTCATGTTTCAAATTAAAATAGGTATATTGTATTTTAAAAGAAATTCATTATAGAGAGTAAGTGTAGCCCAGTGGTGGTGTATATGATTTGCACACATAAGACTCTGGGTCCAATCCTGGCACCCAAAATGGTTATATTAACTCCCCCAGATCATAAGGAATTCAATATAAAAATTAGTAGTTCCAGGGATCCAACAGCCTCTTCTGACCTCCTCGGGCATTGCACGACATGGGTGCACTTACCTACATGCAGGCAATACATGCATACACATAAAATAAAAATAATAAATAAAAATTTTTTAAAAGCTTAAAAAACATTAAAAACAAAACCATCTATTAAAAAATTATATTCTCTAGACCCTCCACAAGTCCTATTTCCCCTTACATTTTAAATATATTTCATTCCAAATATAATGTCTCTTCCTGAAAAGGAAAAAGTAAAGTCTATTTACAACTCACTAAATTAAGATGTAACCTGCGATTTATTTCTCTACCGAACATGAGCACACACCAACTTACTTGCTTTCTAAAAGTCTGATGACTGGAAGAAACACCTCATTCAGCAAAGTCACCTTGTCGGCCTCAACTTTCTGAGAACTGTATGAAATATATTCTTCAAAAAGAAGGCTTTAAGAGAAAGCAGAAATATCAGCAGATCTGGATCATGGCTCACGCAGCCCCTCCGTATGCTAAGAGCTTCACAAACCCAACCTGCTCGAGGTCTGATGAAATGCAGTGAGGTCAACCCTACACTGAGCCTTTCTTGTCAGAACAGGCAGAATGGGGCCAAGCAAGCCTCCACACACTCTCATTTAATTTTCAACGCAGTTTCTGGGCAAACGATGTGCACCCAGGCAGTGCCTTTCCTGACTTCACAGAACAGCAGACAGAAACAGATCAGGAAGGCCGGCCTCCAGAGCACACTGTGGCAGCGGCAGCCGGGTCCCACCCCAAGTTGACTAACACCTACCCTCTATTCATCTTACTGAGCTGCCTGTTAAATCAGAAAGAAAAAGGGAGCATCTTCAGAGATAAGGAGGAAATGATCTTCACTCCCTATCCACCCTCAACATAGAGATTCTGAGAAACATTTACTGAGTTATCAGCTCTGATGTGCTATTATTTAACCATCATGGCACATTTATAATAAAGAACCATAAACACATGCAAACTTGGCTCCAATTCAAATTTGGCTGCACTATCACCTTGCCATTTTCTTCTATAAGCACTGAAAACAAGCTAGAAAAATTTACTTTTGCTTTTTATGCTGCCAATTACTGGATTCCATACCTGTACTTCATGAACTGATTCAAAGCAAGACAGTTAAAAGCCAACTGGAAAGCTACTCACCAACCATGAAATGGAAACAGAACCATGAATATTCCAATCAAAAACAATCCCAATAGCCAGGCATGGTGGTGCACACCTCTAGCCCCACTGCTTGGGAGGCAGAGACGGGCAGATCTTTGTGAGATCAAGGCCAGCCTGGTATGCACAGTGAGTTCCAGGCCAGATGGGGCTAGAGAGATTTTGTGTCAAAGAACTAAAAAAATAAAAACAAAAATCTTACCTAGCCAGCAGGTGGTCCAAGTTGTTTGTCAGTGGTATTTTTCTAAGTATGGCCTCTAGGAGTCTCTGGTAAATCTGACCATCCATCCCTTCTGTTTCTTCTCCTTCACATGTAACACACAAAAGCTTAGTCTGCATGCTCATATGACTAAGTTCACTTACAGTGGAAAACTTTCTAAGAATAATTTAAATATAGATACCCATCTAGCATCTTATTTATTTTTGAGGCATGGTCTCCCTGTAGCCCTAGCTATCCTGGAACTCACTATGTAGACCAGGCTGGCCTCGAACTCACAGAGATCTGCCTGCCTCTGCCTCCCGAGTGCTGGGATTAAAGGCAAGTGCCACCACACCTGGCCAAAAATTTTATTTTTATTCCATGTGTCTGAGTGTTTTGCCTATGTGTATGTAATTGCATGTGTATACCTGGTGTCTGTGGAGGCCAGAAGAGGGCATCATACTCCCTGGGATTGGAGTTATAGAACCAAATCCAGGTCTGCTTGACGAACAGTAAGTGCTCTTAACCTCTGGGCCAGCCCTCCAGTCCATTTTCTTTTTTAAAAGAAGATTTATTGTTTTATTCATGTACATGTGTGGCTGCTTGAGTTTACAGCATCACAGCAAGCAGGTGTCTGTACAGGACAGGTGGCATTAGCTCTCCTGGAGTTGGAGTCACAAGCAGCTGTGATCCACCTGATGTGGGTGCTGGGAACCAAATCCAGGTGCTCTGCAAAAGCAGCAAGTGCTCTAACCACGGAGCCACCTCTGCAGCCCCATTTTTACCGAGTTTGGAATATATAATCTGTCATTTATAATTTTCAAGCCAGTTTATATACATGACTCTCTCCTTCGTCCTTCACCTGATATTCGCCATATTTTTCACAGTAGAAAACTACTCATCAACTACTACATCAAGTATTACCATGCTTGTATCAATAAAACAAAAGTGCAAAAATCACACTGTCTTTTCCCAGATCACACTCGAAATTGGTGAAGGTGGGCCACAACCCAGGTCTCTGAGAGCAGGGCAAGCTTTCATGTGAACAGGAATCTGACACTAGTACCTGCCTCCAAAACTCATCACCATGAATCTGGGTAGGAAAAACACATTTTCACTCTGCTAGTCATTTTCATGAAAGGCAAATGCTTTTTTTCTCTTTTTTTAAAACAATGAAAAAATATCTATGAGGCTTTTGAGGGTGCACGCCAGTGTGTATGTGGAGATCAGAAAACAACTCCGTGGACTCTGTTCTGCCTTCCACCTTATATGGGTTCCCAGCACTGAACTCAGGCTGTCAGGCTTGCGAGGCAAGTGCCTTTACCCACATGGCTGTCTTGCTAGTCCCTGAAATGCAAGTTTTAAACTAAGACGCGGCTGTCCAAGCTTTTCTCAGCAGACTGACACAATTTTAGAACTCTCTCAGTATTCTCTAAAGCGGGCCAGACATCTCTTCCTTTTCTGTGCTCACTGAAATGAGAAATACTGCAAAGAACCACTTCTCCTCATAATCTGGGTTTTTATGCACAAAACCTTGGTCTTGAATGTTTAAGGACTCTCAGAAAAGAAATGTTTTTGGCGGCCAAATGAGATATTTAGTGTGTGTTAATCATTGGAGATCAGTAACTATCTAGACAGCAAAGGTTTGGTAGGCCAAATCCTTTCATTCCTGCAGAGCCTACTCAAGAACACAGATGTGAAAACCACACCCAAAACACCAGCCACACACCTGCCACGTGCTGAACGATGGAGGCCACCAGGTGGGGAAGCATGTAGCGCAGCAGAGGACTGACATCATACCTCTCAGACATGTCGTGAAGTTCTGCTATGAGGTCTGGAACGCTGCACAGGTGAGGAAATGGCCTTTGAAGAAGCAAGAGCATATTAGGTATGGAACGATTTAAAAAGCGGCTCACCTTACAAAAAACTATGCAAAACCACCTCCAACCACGCAATGATGCGTACTTTTTCCCAAGGCTCTCTGGCTTCTGCCGCTGTAAGAGAATTATCAGACAGCCCAATCCATCCTTGACCTGAGAAGGAACCTTGGTCAATGTTCTGATGAGCTGGGACGCCAGTGAGTTCACAAAGCTGTGCTCCATCTTTACTTTCACAGAAATCTGACAGATGATCATGTACGTAGCAGCTCTGTAATCTGGTAAAGATGATTTCAATCCCTAGGGATTGTTAAAATAAGGAAAGTGGCAAAGTATAGAATTATTTTTTTCTACTTAAAATGTTACTTTACTACAACAAATTAGAATGTCAATGTTTGAGGAGACAAAGGTTCGCCCTGATTTAAATGTCAAATACAGTGTTCACCGAAACACCACACGGTACACCAAACCCAAAAACTACAATTTAAGCCAGTCATTACAGCACTCAGGAGGTTGAAGCAGGAGGATCATGAGTGCAAGACCAGCGTGGGCTACATAGCAAGAGCTTATCTCTACCTAAAAATACCTAAAGGCTGGCAAGACAGCTCAGCAGGTAAAGGCACTGGTGCCAAACCTAACAACTGAGTTTGATCCCTGGACCCACGTGTGGAAGGACAAGACAGATTCCCACAAACTGTCCCCTGACTCCCACACCAGTGTATGTAGTGCATAAATACACAAACATACACACATGTAGTAGATTAAGCAATTTACAATTTAAAAAATACCTAATAAATATGTTGCAAGTCCAGAAAAAAAAAAGCTAGGTATGGTGGTACATGCCTTTAATCCCAGCACTCGGGAGGCAGAGGCAGGCGAATCTCTGTGAATTCAAGGCCAGCCTGGTCTACACAGTGAGTTCTAGGACAGCTGGGGCTACAGGGAGACCCAGACCCTGTCTCAAAAAGAAAAAAAAAAAAAAAAAAAAAAGTTGCAAGTCAGAAAGACCAATAAAACCATATTTACACTGACAGTTTTCAGAAGTGGAAAATCAAGGTGTCGCCCTTTACTGTGTGAACACAGGAATGAGAAGTCTGTGGATAAGAGTGGTGGCCTCAGAAAACCCTCCTAGATCAGATGTCATATATATCCCAAGAGGAGGCAACAAGCTCTGTTTTACCTGCAAGCTCCTGGCTTTGGAAGGCAGACTTTAATCACATCACTCACAGGATATGGAATAAGAAAAGTATTAAAAACTGTACTTTGGGTCAGGTGTGGTGGTGTACACCTTTAATTGCAGCACTTAGGAGGCAGAGGTAGGTGGATCTCTATGAGATCAAGGCCAGTCTGGTCTCCATAGTGAGTTATAGGCCAGTTGGAGCTACAGGGAGACCCTGTCTCCAAAACAAAATAATAATAATAATTAAAAATTAACAAAATAACAAGAAAATAGATCTGGGAGACAACAGCACAATAAGAGAGCTAACACCTATTCTTAGAGACCTAATTACGGGCTGAAAAAAGGTCTTTTTTATCTTGTAGAGGTCAGAAGACAACCTTGGGACTTGGGACGCTCCTTCCATGTGGGTCCTAGAGATGAAATGCAGCCTGTCGGGCTTGGCAGCAAGACCTTTACCCAGGGCACCGTCTCACCAGCCCTACAGACTGAATCTTATCAACCATCTGAAGCTGCCAATTTAAAAGCATTTCTACATGAAATTCAAAGACAAGACAACCCCTTACATGCAACAGAACCTGCTTGAGTCATGAACACAACCAACCTTCTGGATGTATGGAGACAGCTTGGCGACCACGCTGTCCAACAGATCTTCAGCAGCCACCAAAGCAGACACCACAGTGGAACCGTAGAAAGCGAAGAGCACTCGCAACCGCGCCGAGCTCCCTGGGTGCTGAGCAAAGGCCTGCAGCCACAACAGAGCATGACACACAGGCAAGTGAACAAAGTCTGAAGCATTCTTCCTCATCTTTAAATATTATTGTTATGTGTATGAATGCATTTATGCACGTATGTAAGTGTACCCGTCATACAACGTCCATAGACGTCAGAAGGGAGCATCAGATCCCCTGGAACTGAAGTTACAGGATGGCTGTCAGCTGCCACATGGGTGCTGGGAATCAAACCCGGGTCCTCTGCAGGAGCAGTCGGTGCTCTTAATGGCTGAGTCATCTCTTCAGCCCCACTTTTTTAGTTTTTTGAGCCAGGGTCTCCCTGTAGCCATAACTGGTCTGGAATTGGCTATGTAGACCAGGATGGCCTTTGCCTCAGGAGTACTGGGATTAAGGAATGTGCCACCACACCCAGCTCTGAAGCCCTACTGACTTACTGTTATACAGCACTGAATAAAACTCAAAGAACGAACTGCCTGACAACCATCACCAAACATTTTTAGATAGTTTAGTAATCACTGTAGCTGGAATTTGACAAGGCACAGACTGTTTCGTAGAGAAACACCCTTGGTGAGAAAAGACGGTTCTATTCTTTCACACCCAAGAGCAGCTCCATCAGCAATAGGAACTCCTGCAAAGACTCACTGCTCTAGGGAAGGCGCAGGGTCCTTCCTCCAAAGCAGGCCATCATTCACGGGATCACAGGCTCATCAACTCGTCAAACACACCACTCACCTTCACAGATTTGGTCACTAGACTACAAATAAAGTCCATGAATCCAAGGTCTTTGTAGCAATGGGTGACCAAAGTTCCTCGAGCTAAGGGTGCTCCAGATTGCTGTTGTTAATGGAAAGAACAAGCTGTTAGTGACATGTGGACTGCCACGACTCCAAGTGTCTACTCTAACAACATCTTCACACCAACTGCACTGCATCAATACAGATGAGATTAATATATAACCTTGTAAAAACTCTAGAAAGACAAGGAATTCTGCATAAAATGTTGACCTGTGCCACTTTTTAGGTATGTACTTAATCTCGACTCTTAGATTCTTAGCAAGTCTGCTGGTGGAATTTGGTTTCGAGACAACCATGATATGGCTCTGTCCCTGCTTCACAAAAATCCTAAAAATAGACTAGGAGCTCTGCATCATGGGCTAGCGTCTCAAACTCTAGTCTAACCGCTTTATGTCCAATTCTGACATTTTCTTGTGAATTCGAAGCTCCCCATCCTTCCCTGTCCCTCCTCCTGACTGCTAGCTTCAGTGTCAAGGTAGCTCTTGGCATAGGCCTATGGTCTACTGGCCTACCCTCATCCTCTTCAGCCTTCCTCCTCGCCCCGTTACCAGCTCAACAGGCAGTAAGCCTCCTGCTAAGAGTGCATACCTACTTTCTGCTATTCTCTGTGCAAACAAAGCTTCCCAGGCCCTTCTGGTCAGGCAACTCACTCAGTTTTAGTAACTTTCTGATACTCTTCAAGTTATCCTTATCATTTTAATTAATCTAAGTATTGAGACTTCCATTCCCTCCATATTTTTTAACCAACTCTAATACCAAAATTAAAAATGCTGAGTAGCAGTGTATAGTACAGGATTCACGTAACGCACTTTAATTATGTAAACTCCAGCAAGCAGTTTAAATTTTCTGAGTACGTCCTCACCTGTAAAAAAAGTTTTATGAGACTCTAAGGTAACATGCTGTAAAATGCCTAGGCTAACATCTGGTAATTAAGTGCTAGGTGTTATTAGTAATCATTTCAATAGGATAAGAAATAAATGGCATAGGTAAACATGGACTATCAAGAGCACCAAGGGCTTTACGTTTTGCAAATTAAAGCCCTCAATCCCAAACTGTAGTACTTACGCACATGAATGAATGTCAGTCATTTAACAATCTCACCTTAACTGGAAACAGCCAGAACCATTTGTGCTTTGGATTATTGATTTTTAGAAGCTGTATCACCCGCACAAATATTCGTGTCTCATGGTATGGCAGAACACAAGCAATGAGGCTATCCTGATTGTAAAGATGGATATGGAACCTGGGGAAAAAAGAAACAATTCAAGTTGATATAAAGTTCACAGGCTCTTTTCCTGAAAGGTCCAAATCCATTGTAGGTAAAAATACCTACAATGAATATCAATCAAACCAAGATGCAGAGTCTATAAGTAACAGACCCACTACTTTGCATTCAAGTTTGACACAAGGTGGCTCAGTCAAGCTGAGGTAACAATATTATGAATATTCGGCATCAAAATTCACACCCTCATCATTTTCTTTCAATTTTAACAAAAGTGTGTGATCACCACTGTCAAACCACAGAAAGCTAACTGGCCAACAAGGTAACACCTGCTGGACTCTACACCCGTGACCTTCTAGAGCCTTCCTTACCATCACACCTCCAAGACAAAAGGACCAATTAAACGACATTCACATCTTGGGGTAGAAAGATTATCAAATTACAACCACATAAATTTGTACATGAACTTGAAAAAACTGTGTGTCTCCTATGCTAAGAATGTTAAGATGGATTTATTAACTGGCAGGTTCACTGACCCCTCCCCAACCTTCAGGATCTGGCTCTTTCTTCAAGTGCGCTTCCTGATTCTCTCCAAGTGAGCACTCTCATGTCTGTCTAAATTGTCCTATGTACTTTTCCTTTTCATTCATTTTTTGTTTTATTTTTACGTATATGAATGTTTTTTCTGCAGTGCCCAGAAGCCAGAGGAGGGCATGGGACGCCCTGGAACCTAAGCTACTGATGGTTGTCAGCCAGAAAAGCCTTCCATGGCTGTCCAGACACTATCGTCATCTGCCAGGAACTAAAGTGTCAGTTTTAAATTGGCAGATGCTGCAGCTATCTTTAAGGTGCCAACACGGGAGGTACCTGTGAATCAACCATTCCAGACACTTCTGCGCTGGCTTCAGCAGGAAATAAGGAGACAAGTGGATAAGGAATGATGAAATGTTTTCATCCAGCTGTCGGTTCACGGCTTTGGTCTGAACACTGCGCTCCAAGGTTTTCGCCAGGTGACTGAACAACGGTGCTTCGAAGGCCTCAAAGGTAGGATCGATTCCAAGCAGCTCCTCCAGGCCCGTGCGACCTAGGAGAAAGCCGCTTCATTCAACATTTCTCTGCCATCTCCACCTGTCATCTTCTTAGCCTTCTTTACCCCCATGTCTGAACTGTGTCACAGTATGTAACACTCTCAAACACATCAGTCTTCAACATACAGGACTGCCTCACTAACCACACGCCTTTCATCCCAGCACTCGGGAGGCAGAGGCAGGCGAATCTCTGGGAGCTCAGGGCCAGCCTGGTCTACATAGTGAGTTCGGGGCCAGCCTGGTCTACATAGCGAGCTCCAGGCCAGCTGGGGCTACCCCGTCTCAAGAACAACCTGCTCAGTAAGGACCCCCCAAAACGCCCCCAAGTTTTCCTAAGGGGTCACCGATGGCGAAGGCGGTCTCCCGGTCGACGGTGGCAGCTTCCTTAGGGTCAAACAGCAGAGAGGCCACTTCCTGTCTGGACAGGAGGCTGGGGTCGGTCTGCGGGAGGGCGAGGCGCTGCAGCTGCTGAGCTAAGGACGTCATCTTCACGGGCTCAGGAACAAGCGCAGGGAGGTCCGCAGGAAGCGACAGGCGGCTTAACCGAGCGCAGGACTTTGAGGGTACTAAAAGCTCGGTACCTGGAAAGACACAGACCTAGCGGCCCTGTGCTTCTCCTCACTCTCGGCTCAGAATTCGGACAGCACGCGACAGCCAGCAAGTCCTACAGCAGCTCCCACATGGTAGGGGCTCCCTTCCGGAAACCCAAAGTATGACTCAGAGGAACTTCCGGTTCGTTCTACGGCAAGAGAAGAGGCACACGCTGATGCGAAATGCGTCGTGTAGCCCCGCTTCCCCAACGCGAAGTCCCGCCCGTCGCTCTGGTCGAAGCCTCCGCCCACTCCACCGCCCGCTATTTTGAATCCTTGCCTGCGGCCTCTCTGAAGCCCCGCCCACAACCTCTCATAGGCTTCGACTCTCCGAAGCCCCGCCTCCGGTCTCCGCTCCTCCTCCCCATAGGTCCCACGCCTCTCTGAAGCCCCGCCCACAACCTCTCATAGGCTTCGACTCTCCGAAGCTCCTCCTCCCCGTAGGTCCCATCCGCTCCATCAAACGCCCTGCCCCCAACCTCTCTCAGGCCCAGCCCGCCAGGTCCTCTCCGAAGCCCCGCCCCTCTCTGAAGCCCTGCCAGGCCTTCTACTGGCAGGGCTGGTCCTATCGGTTTATCGTGCTGCGGGCTGGAGTGGGCAAAGCTGGCAGCGGTTCCCATCTCTGCACCACGTACTCTGTGAGCACAGTCGGTGCTCTTAGCCGCCAAACATCTTTCCAGCGCCAGTAAATGACATTTTTACTTAAAAGTATGCTGATGTATATTTACAAATACCAAGTTCACCCGTTTCAAGGCTTGGGTGAGCTATGCGCAAGAATGGCAGGTGTTGAGAGACCTGAGTGACTCCATCTTGGATAAAACCTCCGCGGGACTGACCTAGCCCTGAACCCTGTTTCAGGAAAAAACAGAAAAAAAGTATACTTGGAACAGATAGAAAACAACTCCCCCACTAACAGTCAATTAACCAGGGACAGGAAAGTACTAAAAGTCCAGCTGTCTCTTCAGATTTCCTGAAGGCAGCAGTTTATGGTTTGGCACTGGGTTGCAACCAATCAGATACTTGCCAGGCTGGAGACCCCCTACTTGCTGAACTTGCTGAAATAAACCTATAAAACCTCTGTCTCCCAAAGCAAGGGGGTCTCTCTCCCAAAGCAAGGGGTCTCACATCTGAGATCCTCTGGGTTGGTGACAGAGTGGGCCCAAGCTTAAGCTTGTAACAATAAAAACCCCCTTGTGTGTTTGCATGGGTCAGCTCTTTGGTGGTCTTTGGAGGGGGTCTCAAGAACTGGGCACAACAGTGTGACCTTCTGGGCTCCTAACTGCTGAAAGTTACCTCCCAGCCGCCCCTGCCGTGACGTCACCACCCTGGCCCCCAGGCCGCTTTGCTGCTTCGGGGAGACTGTTGTCTGCTACACAGTGTGGACCAGGATGAGACTGGACACCGCGCCCTCTCCTGGCAGCATCCATGTCTTTGCAGAGGTGGGGGCTTGTGGTTTCCAGAGTCTGAGGTGTTCTGCATCCTTCTACCAGAAATGGGAGCACAGCCTGGAGGCTCCCTTTCCGAACTTCCTGCAGGTTCTCTCCCTAAAGGAGGTCTTCTGTTGTGGGTTCGCTTTGCCAGAGTTTAGGACAACCAAAAAATCCTTTTTCATGTCTGTCTTCAGATAGTAAATGAAAATCGACATTTACAGATGTCGCCTTACAGCGAGCTACATGACAGTGCTGGTTGTCTATCCCATTCCTACAAACATCTGTCAGAGAGGTATTTTTCTTTCTCAAGTGTCAGAAAAGTTACCTTTATAAAAGCCTTTAGCGTTGGGTATTTACTAAAGAAGGAAAAAATCAGAATTATTTTGATGGATACGACATGTTTTTTAATTTGGGGAGGAAATTCTTTCTGTTATATGTAACATGTAATATAGTGATATATTTTATGACTATACAAAGGAAGGTAGTTTATATATTTGATTTGGTTTTTTTGGAGGCAGAGTCTCTGTAGTTCAGGCTAGCCTGGAACTCTCAGGTCCTCCTGTCTCAGCCTCCCAAGTGTTCTAATTACAGGTGTGTAGGCTACCATGCTGGGCTCCACTACAGGACTGTGAAAGCTTGGGTGGATCTCTGTGAGTTTGAGGCCAGCCTGGTCTACATAGCAAGCTTCATGTCATCCAGAGCAACATAGTGAGAGTGTATGAGTGTTTTGCCTGCATGTATGTAAGTGCACCACAATTGTGCAATGCCAACAGAGGTGAGAAGACAGTTGTCAGCTGCCATGTGGGTGCTGGGAATCCAACACAGGTTCCTTGGAAGAGCAGCCAGTGTTCTAAACCACTGAGCCATCTCTCCAGCTCCTTATTTGTTTGTTTGTGTTTTGAAGCAGAGTCTTTAATAGCCTAGTAGCCTGCCCTTGAGCTCACAATGGAGACAGGGATGAGTGGATGAACTTGAACTCGTGTGTGTGTGTGTGTGTGTGTGTGTGTGTGTGTTTTGAGACAGGGTCTCCCTGTAGCCCCAGCTGACCTGGAACTTACTATGTAGACTAGGCTGGCCTTTGAACTCACAGAGATCCCCTGCCTCTGCCTCCCAAGTGCTGGGATTAAAGGCATGCACCACCACAACCGGCTCCAGCTTGAACTCTTGTTCTCCTCCTCCACTTGCCAAGTTCTGGATTGTAAGCATGTGTGCGACCACTCCCAGCTACAGAGTTCTTAATGCAAGAAAAAAACATTGGGAGCCAAAGAGATGACCCAGAGGTGAAGAGTGCCCTTCAGAGGATCGGAATCAAAGATGAGCGCCACCTTGCCCAGCTTGAATGAGCCATTTTTAAGGGTATTCTTCCATCCTGCCTCAACCCTCTTAGTGCTGCAGAGTGCGTATTTCTCAGTGTTTCCTGTGTGTGCTTTCTGCCGGGCCTGGGATATGCTGTAAATGAGAGACCTCGAGAGAGGCCCCTGCTGCCTAGGAATTTGCATTCTGATCGGAAGAAACAGGCAATAGATCAGCAGAATGCCGTCGGGTGATGTGATGAGTGCACTGAGCATAGACACAGACACCATATGGCAGGGGTGATTGAAGAGTCGTTACTTTGAGTTGCAGAGGACTCTGAGGAGGGGACATTTACCCTGGGACCTGAAAGACAAGCTTAGCTTTGAAACAATGATCATGCCCACGTAGGATCAAGCTTGGCACTGACTCCCAGCCTACCTGGATGGGGCTCCTCCCTGTCCATCAACCCATCAACTGCTGTCTCTCCGTAGCGTTTCTCATCACCCAAAACAATCAGATTTGATTTTTAACCTGTTCGTTTCTTGTTCTGTTCACCAGAACACCTGTTTCAACAAGTTCACACGGAGTCCAGGTTTTGTGGAATCTAGAATGTGTGCCAATGGAGACTCCCGCTGTAGGTCCACAGACTAAACACGGGTCAGCTCACCTCACTATTATCAGGACATGTCATGACTCTCAACAACGACAACTCTGACAAAATGAAATGGTTTTGTCAGACTAAGAAGCAGCCAAATCTATTTATTTATCTATTTATCTGTGTGTGTATATGTGATGTGTGCATGTTGCACATGCGTGTTCATGAGTGTGTGCATGTGCAGTCACCCGTGTGGACACATGTGAAGGCCAGAAACAATGTCAGGAAGCATCTTCAATCTCTCTCACTTTATTTTTTGCAACAGTCTTTCCCTGAACCTGGAGTTTACCATTTCAACTAGACTAATTGGACAGTGAATCCCGGGTTCCATCTGTCTCCAGGCCCCAAGCACTGGCATTGTAGACTTCCACCACTGTGCCCTGCTTTTACATGCTATGAATCCTGACTCAGATTCTCACATTTGTGCAGCAAGCACTTTACACACTGAACCATCTCCCCAGCCCAGGATGCTGTTGCATTTTCATTATTATTATTGTACCTGTCTGGGTGTCCTGATGAATGGGTCATGCGTTTGGATGAATAGCAGACATGGTTAACACATTTCGTTTATTTATTTATTTATTTTTTGTCTTTTTGAGATGGGATTTCCTTATAGCCCCAGCTGACCTGGAACTCGCTATGTAGATCAGGCTGCCCTCAAACTCACAAAGATCAGCCTGCCTCTGCCTCCTGAGTGCTAGGATTAAAGGTGTGTGCCACCATGCCCAGCTTAATTATTTATTTTTATTTTATGTGTGTTTTGCCTGTGTATATGTGAGTACACCTGTGTGGTGCAGTGCCTTCAGGGGCCAGCAGAGGGCATTGGATTCCCTAGAACCAGAGTTAAGAATGGTTGGTAGCCACCATGTGGGTGCTGGGAACTGAACCAAGTGTGCCACCATGCCCAGCTTAATTATTTATTTTTATTTTATGTGTGTTTTGCCTGTGTATATGTGAGTACACCTGTGTGGTGCAGTGCCTTCAGGAGCCAGCAGAGGGCATTGGATTCCCTAGAACCAGAGTTAAGAACGGTTGGTAGCCACCATGTGGGTGCTGGGAACTGAACCAGGGTCCTCTGCAAGAGCAGGCAGTGCTCTTAACCACTGAGCCATCTCATGTATGTTTACCTCATAAAATGTTGCCTTTATTTCAGCAGAATCATCAGTTCTATTACTTAAGTTGGTTTTTTTTGCCTAATCTGCTAGAGGCCCAAGTTTTTTGTTTGTTTTTATTTTGAGACAGGGTCTCACTGATTAGACCAGGCTGGCCTTGAACTCACAGAGCTCTGCCTGCCTCTGCCTCCCAGGTGTGGAGATTAACGTCATGCACCAACATGCCCAACAGGCCCCGGGTTTGATTCCCCAGTGTCAAGCCCCCCAAAGACTCTTCATGTAATTGTGTTCTATCTACAATAATGATCAAAAGGGTTATATTCAAACTATATAGAATTTGAATGTTTGTTTAAAACATAAAAATCAATACTTAAATCTATTTTTCACTTGCAAAAGTATTTTCTAAAAAATTATATACAGATTATAATTAATGACAACATTTTAAATAAAATTATTTAGATAAACCTAAAGTTTCATTACTTTGTAAATATTATTAAATATTTCACAATGATAAATTCTATGCTAATTAGTCAATGTTGATCTAGTTGCCATTATAAAGCAGAGTTATGACCTTCTGAACTTCACTTGTGGGGCTGGCCGAGCCACGTGTTTTTC